GCTTCGGAACCGGGAGGAATAAGCTCGCCGTAGACTGATCTGCAAAAGCTCGACACGCCTGCTAGCACAAGCCCATACACCGCGGCCAAGGGATACATCTCCCAAGGCTGTTGCAGTCCGCCCACGCCCCAGTTCCGCACAAACGGAATGTAGCCGAGAAGTCCGTAAATCGGAATGAGCTCGAAGAGGCCGATGCAGACCAAAATCGTCTGGTGGGGCTTGAGATTGAGCTTGCGCGAGATGAAGGCCCAACTAAATGCTCCGATGACCCCGAACGTAGTGGATATAACATTGATCATCCCCAATGCCCAAGGCTTCATGTGAAGCTGGGTCTTGGCGAAGAGAATCGCTGTGGATGACGTCGTTGCCACGGCATCTGAGAGGAAGAACCAGGCAACGATGAACAGCATGATGTCCCTGAGGCGTCGAGCAAGCTGAACTGTCCTGAAGAGGGAGCTCCAGGCGTTCTTGGTGTAGCTCACCCAAGCACGAGCGCCCTTACCCGAGCCGGAGTCGATGGGCATTGGTGGGCCCGGTCTCGGGCGCAGCCACATGGCGGCCGGAATAGTAAAGATTGTCCTGTTCGTTGAAAGTCAGCTCCGGTTATACACAACATACGATCAGAGCCAACAATGCGGACGATAAAGACGACAGAGACGAGGTGTTACATACCACCAGGCACCAACAACAAAAAGCACAACCCTTTGCGACCATGTCGAGTTCTGCATCGCAATCAAAATAACAATAGCGACGCATTGCACAAACAATCCGGCAATGTAACCGGTTCCGATGCCCTTGGAAGATATCTGGGTTGAAAGGTGAAGCTCCACCGAGGTGATTTCCTCATGAGTAGCTTTTCTTACTAGAGGATGACCATGATGAGCATTCTCTCCAAGCAATGCGGTGGTGGAGTCTTCTACATCGCCAACAGCCGAATCTTCATCGATGGGAGTGCCATTTAAAGGCTGCGACTCCATGTCCGAGTTACCGAGATCTGGTGTGTGCACCGTCGCGGACGCCAAAACCTCGGGATGGTATCGCACGAGAAGAGGGAGGAATGAGTTCAGAAGTACGAATGATGCGCCAAAAGATGCGTTTGAAATGATGGCCAGCAACGCGCCGAGTACGTATGTGCTCTTGTTGACGAAGATGTATGCCATAACTGAAAAGCTACCGACCCACGCGAAGGTGAGCAAGAGCTTCTTCCTCGAGTCGCCATGGTCGGCAGCGCTGCTGATACTCACGACCAGGAGAGCCTGGATCAAGACGCTGATTGAGAAGGTGTACATGGCGAAGCTCGCGGTGTTGATTTCCATCCCGAGCACATAGACGATACATTGTCCATCGGCCTTGTTCTTGGAATCGCTCGTGCCACAAGGGGTCGTTCGGTCCGACAATAGGACGCCATTTTCGCGAGCGAGTGTCTCGAGGAGAATCGGGATGAATGAGCCTGTGAATCAGGTCTTGTCAGCACCAGCAACGTCAGAGTCAGGTGTTGGATGGGCGCATTGATGTAGACATGCTTCCGTGTCTTCCGTCGGGCAAGCGACAGTGTTATTACGAGCTGGTTGAACATACCGATGGCTGAGAAATGTCAGTTCGTGAACATGGTCAGATGCAAGGCGGGGAAGATAGATATTGCTTACCACAAATAACATAGGTTTCGGCAGCAAAGGCGTAGGCGTACCAGCCGTTTAGCTCCTTCTGGCTGGTGGGACGGGTATCTTCACCCTGATATCGGCCTTGGCCGTGGAAGAAGCCATCACTGCTGCTTCCAGGACTCATCCTGTCGTAGTCTGAGTCGCTGTCGGAACGTTCGTCGTCAGCCTCAAAGTCGGAGGTGAAGGAGCGAAAGGAGCGTTTGGACAAGGTCGAGAGGCGCGACCATAACCTTGGTGCAGGCGGCGGGCGAGCGTGTTCCTCATGCCTGGGAGCCATGGGTGACAAGCAATCAAGCAGCACAGCACAGCACTGACACGGGCGGCTAGGCTTAACTTTACTGGATGGAGCAGCTGACTTGGCGGGCTGTCTCACTCCGGTCGCAGCACGCAACCTCCAGGGCTGAACTTCCGTCCGAGTTTAGGCTGCAGAGGCAACCAGGAACAGCCAAATCTCCAGGTTTCCGCGCCAGGTAACTTGCCAAGGTGGGCAGACAGCGGAATGCACGGCGAGCAATGCGGATAGATTGGGGGTTGGGGTTGGCGAATGCAGGTTGGACTAGGTACCTAGCACTGGGGGTGTCGCAACAGTGCTAGGCACCACCACTTTGAGCTTGACCGATGGACTGCTGTCCTGCTGAGAGGTGTCGAGGGGGTCGCCTTCGCTGCTGTGGGCGGACCACTCGGCGTATTTCCAGTAGCTGCACGGCACCTCACCGGCCAAGTTCTGACTGGAGGCTGCCGTCGGGGGAAGCGAGTGCTGCTGAAGATGTTCCAATAGAAGTCGAGGACGGGCGGCAGGTCGGATGTTGGCGTTGTCTTTGCCTTCAGTGGGGTGTCTCGCAAAGGAAGCCTGCCGAAAAGGGCATGTGGACTGGACTGGTTTCGAGGAAAACCGGAGATGGGAGGGTGTTGACTTTGGGAATCGTGCAACGAAGCTGACAGGTGACTGTTAGGTGACAGACCGAAGGTGCGGGTGACGACGACGCAATGAATTCCTTGCGGACAGCAACATGAGGCCACCGCGACTGCGACAATGGATATCTGGATCGAATCCTGCAAGAAGGAGGAAAAACGACAGAAGCAGAAAGAAAAAGAGAAGGTCGGAGGAAAAGTAGGTCAAGGAGTCGTCGGGCAGGTTGAAGAGACCCGACTGTGGGCCGGCGCGGTTGGTTATATGGCGGCCAAAGGAAGGAACCACACCGCGTGAGGCAAAGGCCAGCTCCAAGGTGACAACGTCAATGTCAATCCATGGTCTTCCCCGGAGTGGACGACCAGACTTCTCCATGCCTTCTCCGACTTTCCAGGCCTGCCGTACGAATACGCTTGCGCTGTTGCAAGTTATTAGCCCAAGCCAACTAGGTGCTGCAGTAAGCTTGAGCCAAGGCCACCACCTCTTTCCTTCCACCTCCACAACCGTCTCTACCTTACTTGTACTGTCCGTCCCATTCATCGCCTTTCTTCTACCTTCCTCCCATCACGCCGTCCTTCCCCGAACCTAGCTGCCCCCTGATCGCATTGAAAACGCCTTTGCCCAATCTGCTAGACGTGCGACCGCAGATATTATTGTGCTTTCCAATGCATCATCGCCGATGGATGGTGCCCTTCATGTTCCTAGCGCCGCTGCCACGCTTCAAGCATGCGGCGCTATGAGGCAATGAGCTCCAGTCATCGTCAGAAGGTGCGCGGTGCCGACAGCCATCGTGAGACGAACCGGGGGCCTCATTCGTCCGATATTCCAAGCTCAGCGTGCGTCGATGGATATGCGTTGCACTCGGATTTTGGATTGGGCATTGGCCGCCGCTCGCCTGCATCTACCTGCACCACACTTTCCCATCCATCTCAACCCTGGTTTAGCACTTTGCCATTGACACCACCCTCACCGCAAGAGGGCGAACTGATGGCCATTGGCCAAACTTTTATTTCCCCTCGTACAGCGTTTTCTCTCATCCCGCAAATCTTTCGTTGTATCTACGCATCAGATAGTAGCTTACCCGCTGTGAAGGCATCGAAAACCCTCTCATGATGAACAAGAAGCCCTGCACAATGGGAATGACCTGTTCTGGCATGACCAAGGAGCGGCAAAACCGCAACTGATCAAGTAGTCGTCTCTTGGCAAAGAGCCGCTGCCGCCTTGGGAGGGGCTAGCTTCGCTGCTGATTGAGATGGACCTCTACCTACAGTTATCTGACTTAGTATGACTTTGCTGTTGTTTAAACATTCTCTGATGTTGGTTTGCCCACAGTACCATATTTCACTACATCGAAACCCATGCGATCCAAACTCTGCCTTGCATCCTGCTCTCTAGGCTCTGGCAACACTGCGGCAAAGTCTCGTGACGATCCGAACCGTACTGGAGCCTGCGGGGGTGGACATTCTGCAAGTGCCTTCGCGATCTGCGCACCCTCTTGACTTCGCTGCCCACCACATTTCAACTCCCGTTGGACCCTGAAGGACGATCACCGGCATGCGAGCTGGTTGGCGTTAAGACTACTTAGCGCAAACCGCGCGCAAACCAAGAAAACTATTTTGTAATCCCTCGCAGCTTGAACATGGTTTTGCCTGTCACACTACAGTCAGTTCTGAAATACTGCTTATTTGTGCCATGACCTTCCCGTACAATTCCATGTCCGCCCAAAGCCAAAGATGGGACCACTTTCCGGACTTCACCGCCTCAACTTTTAAAGTTACCCGGGGAAGGGTCTGTCGTCGCCAGGACCCAGTAATACCCTGGTGCCTCTCCGCAATGAGATGAAACGGGCCGACGTTGGGTCTGAACTCTGAAGCTTCCATTTCTCTGTTCAATAATATTGTCGCAGAGACAAGGCCGACATGACGAGCGCTTGCCATGTGCCAAGACAACAGTTTCCAGTCTGTAGGATCGACTAAACTCTAGTTCGCTCGTGAAGTTATAAGCTTGACGGTTTCAACGACGCCGACAGAGTCCGATTCTCTTGCTCTACGGACTTCTGGCACGCGTGACCGAATTACGTCATCAACCGGCTCTGCGGACAGGATCGGTGTGCACGGACCATATCGTCGGCGCCGATGTTCCCCACATCCCGGATATCATCGGAACTCTCAATTGCAGCATTTGTAGGACACACGCAGAAAATCCAAAAGTTGAACGAAATATGAACATTGCAACGTATGGTGGTTCTTATATGAATAAGAAAGCTCTCTTTTTTATTGAAATAAGATGTTTGAGATCCGGCTTGTTACGACGACATACGTGGGGCCCTCAAATCGCGCCGCCGCCACACACGAATACGAAGTATAGCACAACACCACATTCCACCCACCCCTAGGGTATTATTCCACAATAAGATGGATCCAAAACATGGCGAAGTGTCCGAGTGGTTAAGGAGTTTGACTCGAATGAATATTGGAATCAAATGGCTTCGGCCGCGCAAGTTCGAATCTTGTCTTCGTCGATATCTTTTGTTTTGCCTTTTTTTTGCGTTGTGCGTGTGTTATGTTGTGCGGTGTTGACTTAACCGAGAGCACATACAAGGCACACCTAGAGTTCGTTCGTCTGATACTGCTTCTATCGATATCTTTCTTTGAAGCATATCCCTGTAGAGCATCAAGTCTGATGTGCCGCTAGTACCGCAACTTTTCAGACATCACGATTTTTTGTTTTTCTGAGTACGCCTAACTCCCCTATATGCGCAGCTACATTTCCTGTGCACAAAGTAACTTCAGTTAGATACCCCCGTAGGAGGGACAAATATAGGGGTAATGATCGTGGCGATAGAAGCAATGACAAAGACGAAGATAAGAACAACAACGACGACGACGAACAACGCAGACGACGACGACGACGACGACGACGACGACGATGACGAAGAGGAAGACGGAGACGGCAACGAGGAAGACGACGATGGCAATAAGGTAGAGTAAATATCCGCGAATAGTAGTCGCGCTAGCACAGGAAAAACATAGGTCATCTTCTGGTTTACCCAGTCTTTCTTGCTCTCTTTTGACCTGGATGAAAGAAAACTTTTGAAAAGCAGTTTTCTTTCTTTGTATCGGTTTTTTGGAAAGAGAAAACATTTCGAATGACTGAGCGTCAAGATATCAGCAGCTCTATTAACCTCGTCTCACAAGTTCACTGAGAACAGCCACAAAAGTTCAATTCGAGCAACGTAGAAACCCATCATCCAACTGAAAACGAAGGGTGGGGGGTTTTGCGATATTAATGAGATGTGCTGATTAGATCTAGAGACACAAGTTGTATGCGCTTTCTTGGTCACTGTTTCAGTTGCTGAGATTCAACATGATTTTCGCAACAGAAATTGCGACATTGACCCGGATTCTGCTGGTTGACTCATTACAAGAGCCCGCAATTGAGAAAGTTAATGCCACGGTAAATTGAGCCAGCGGCAGGATATCATTCAAAGTTCTCAAGAGGAAGCATATCTATGAAAATGGGGATATCGTGAAGGGTATGTTAACAACTTCCAACCAAAAGCCACTCAAACGCACAGCACACACCAACAGTCTGGTGCCAATCCAGGCATCCCGCCACCACATTAAACATCCACATCATTCTGTTAGCCATGCATTCTTTTCGCATCATTTTCAATCTGCACCCGCTCGCGCCATGCCATGAAAATTTACTTCTTGTGGAAAGGAGCAAGGATCTTGGCCTTGAGCTTGTCGGCGACGCTGACGCCAGCAGTGCCGTCGGCGCGGGCCTGGGCGGCGGCCTTCTTCTCGTGGTCGATCGACTTGTGCGCGTTGCCAGCGCCGCCGCGGCCGCCGTGGTAGTCCTGGTTCTCGGTCGAGGGGCGGTAGGCCTCCTCGGGGACGAGGTCCTTGTCGGAGCGCGGGGCGGGCGCAGAGCCTGCGTCGCCAATGTTGCCGGCACCTGTGATTTGCATACAGTCAGTCGATGAGCGGCGTTTCTCAAGAGCGCGACTTTGCGACGCAATTACAAAGGCGGTGGGGTGAGGGTCGGCTTCGTGAGCTCATCGCGCCGATGCCGCAGGGGGCTGGGGGTGACACTGATAAGAAAACGGATGTCTTATGTACCTCCTCTGCCTGCGCTGTAGGCTCCGTGGCCCTGGGAACCCTCAGGACCGGTCCTCACGACTTCGCCATCGACGTACTGGGTGTCGTCGGGATTGATGTTTCCAGCTCCGCCGCGTCCGTGGGATACTTCGGCCGTCATTGTGAATGGGGTTGTTGTAGAGCGATAAATGTGGTATGATAATTATCTTTCGGGGGTACTTGATCTTGGCAGGTGAGTCTGCGGTGCTTTGGATGAAGAAATCTTGTCTAAAAAAGAAAGTTGGAGCGACGGCTCGATATTTTATTCTGCAGGATCACAAGCTTTGGACCGGGGGACAGGAGGAAAACAGGTACGTCAGTAATATTATATATAGATAAGGCATCGGTTCCTGGCAGCTCGTCGTCACATCATAAGATAGAGACAGACTGAGAGAAAGAGTACAAAGTACCTCCATCGGATCACCTACTACTATCAGTGACTCCAGACCCCCAAGCTAAGGTTATCTCGAGGCGGCGCACGCCTGCAGATGACTGCGGGATGTCTTAGCGTCTTGGCCCCTGGCACTTTGCGAGTGGGAGACACCGTTTCCATGTTTCTGTCCCTTCTTCATCCTTTCCATCGGGCACATCAGCCTTCAGCCATGCATGGCACGCACGCACACTCACTGACCGCGTCCCGCGGCGGGACGGTACTTGCACATGTGCTGAGCACCACACAGACACCGACCAACGGTTCAGATGGCAGCTCAGCGAATGACAGCCGGCCCCTGCCCTGATAAACCCTGGTTTACGTACCTGAATTTCGTGAGAGCTCCGGAGACCATCCCGCATCGAACGTGTCTTGCCCAGCCCTTCGGTACTGTCGCAAGAACAGACGCAAGCTAGTACCTTCGCGAAGGATGCTGCTGCTGTCACCTTATCTCGACGCCAGCAAGCAAGCGGTGATTCGAACTCTATGTAAAGCTCTACCCTCGAACTCACCTCGAACTCATCATGAGCGTTCGCACTTCCCATCCTTGGCGAACCTTACGCTCGGGAAAGAGGTCTGATGATCAACCTTGATGGAAAGCAGGGATACCGCCTGTTTTCTCCAGAGCAATGTCGTCATATGAGGCATCCCACATTTCGACATTCGCATCCTATGTCTCCAACAACACTATGTGCGATGCCTTTCCAGCTTTCTGTTTCTTCACACGTCAATGGAACTCAGCACCAGCTTGACTTCCCGGTGTGGTCGGTCTCATTCGGCTAACTCACCCGCTCGCTGGGTTGTCCAGCAATGGCGAACCAGCTACAGCAATAAGAGGCGTCGAGCAACAGGCGTCGAGTAAGCACCGAGAGTGACGTTCCACTCAAGCTATCCCGTCAGCCAAGTCCAATGAATGGGATCACATAGCCCGTATTTCTGATGGCCGCCCCGGCGCGCTCATGTCAGCTTGGGACATGCAACCTTCCATTGGCCACGATACAGCAGGCAGAATGAGGGGTGAAAGGAGAGAGCGCCATATATCAACGCCGGAACGACCGCATCGCCCTGCCAATCCCATCTCGGCGACCAGCCAAGCTGCAGCTCCTCGTCTCTCACCAACATGGACGCCATAGGCACAGTCACTTCAGCCATTGAACTCTGCAAGATCACGAAGGACTTGATTGAGAAGTACGCCAATGCAGGGCAGGATGTCACACAGCTCAAGGCCGAGCGCAATTGGACGGAGCGGCTCTGCGTGGCCTTAAAGGAGCTCATTCTGAAAACCCCGAACATTGAGCGGAATACAGATAGCTCTGATGAGGAGCTGCTAGGGTGTTTTATAGATACAGCAACAGATATCGAATCGACGCTTCAGATACTTGAGAAGAAGCTCAGAGGAGTCAACATTGACGCAAGCGACAAGTACTGGCAAAAGACATATATTAGGGCATATTGGGTCTTCAACGAAGGATTCTTCCAGGACACGACCCAGAGCCTCAGGAACCAGAGACAAATGATGGACTCTGTCGTCATGGCGCTTAATTTGTAAGTACCTTCGAGAGATGATCCCAAATCTATAATTCGTAACTCACCTCAACTGCACACTAGGCAGCAATCACTACACGTGACAGGCATCTTGAAGCCACCTCGATCTCCGAGTCCTATGCCTCCAAAGGATGGCTGGAAACCAGATCATAAGAAGTCTGGAGAGAAAGATTCACGGTCCTACGCGAAGGATCTGTTGAAAGCCGTCCAGAGCGACAATTACAAGACTGTGAAAGAGGTGCTGGCACGAAAGGGCTCTATCAACGTAGCTCTCGAGGATGGCGACCGAGCAGTTCACATTGCTGCTCGCGAAGGCTTCTTGTCAATTCTCGAGAGGCTTCTCGCCCTCGGCGCTGACGTGCACATCGCAAATAACTTCCAGGATACACCATTATATGCGGCTCTCAAGGCTGGACAGACAGAAACAGCCATGGCGTTGCTGTTACAGGGCGCCGGTTGGAAAAGCTTGAATGACGATGGATTCAACGCATTGCACCTCGCGGTTCTGCACTCGGCGAACGTCGTCGTCGGCTACTTGCTTCGCAAAGGAGCTGACCCGACACAGCCGGACTCAAAAGGCCGAACACCGGTAAAACTAGCCTGGCACCCTCTAGGGAAGAACGGGAAGAAGGGCACAGTGGACATAGACATCATGCGAGCCTTAGTAGATCACGGGGCCAGCCCGACCCCGACGGACGAGAGAGGAAGAACCCTAGTTCATCTTGCCGTCAAGGAGAAGCGACCGGGCTTTGTAAGGCTGCTCGATTCAAAGTCTGCTGATATGAACGCCAAGGCCAACGACAAGAGTACACCACTACAAATCAGCATAAACTCGAACAATCTGCCAATGACCCGCCTGTTGCTCGAACTCGGGGCAAACGCCAATGGTAAGAGTGCACATTCCGGCTCACCCCTCATGTTCGCCGCCCAGAGAGGTTCATTGCCAATCATGCGCCTCCTGCTCGACCGCGGCGCTCAGAAGTTCTACAACACACCTCAAGAGACCAACGCCTTCATATGGGCCTGTAACGGCGGGCATATTTCCTGCGCCAGCTTCTTGCTCGGTTGTGGGTATTGGCCGCACAAAAGGGCAGCTGGGGACTACACAGCGCTCCACTACGCGGCTGGAAAGGGCCACATGGAGGTGGTAAAGTGGTTGTTGCAGCTGGGTGTCGACAAGAATATCAGAACAAAGATCGCCAGGGTGCCGTTCAAGGTTGCCGGGACGGCTGCAGAGCTTGCCAGGGCACATGGGCATAGCAAAGTTGCCGAGGTCATTGAGACCTTTGTAGAGGAGCAGGTGTACTAGTCGTTGCATCAACAAGCCTGTTGCCGTAAACAGGTAGGTTATCTCTGAAGTATGAAGATAGCAGACGCAGTTTGTTTGAAATCGGTTTCCATAGG